GCTGTAAACGCTTCTGCGCTTCACCTTACACAAGGATGTAGGGGGGTGCCCAATAAATGAAGAAAAAAAAATGGCTAGTAAACTGATAAGGAGTGAAACGATAAATTATGAATAACTCTGTCCAATTTCACACGCTAAACCCATTAAATACTTTTAAATGCAATCCCGGCATCAAATCTTACACAATACACAAGCTGATACTGAAAGGAAGCAGGAATCAGTTCGAGGTTTAATCTTAGACGTGGAGTAACACCACATCCATGTGTACACAAAGATTCACCACAACCGTTACTGTCGAAAATTGGAAATAAGAAGATGCTTAAAAATCAGGACATGAGATCCATCGTTGAACAAAGCTAAAATAACTAAAGCGATCCAAGAAGATTCACCGGACATTCTTCCACTTATGAGAAAACAGTTCACTCTTGACTACTTAAAACAGTCTTAACTTATACTTAATTATGAAAATATTATAAGTAGTTATCTTAGTTTTATTGTACTATCGTAAACTGGGTAAAATTACAGTCGTGTAGTCAAGTTTATTCTTCTTTCACGCGGGTTATTATACAATGGTTCCCCACAAAGGTTTAAGGTTCAGTATAATAAAAGTTATAAAATAGCAAGGTTCTACATCAGTGACCTTAATTTCTTATGGGTGATAAAATCTCACCCATGAGACAAGTATTTAAAATTTTTTTTTTTTTTTTAAATGCAGGCAATCATTCACATCTAATTGGCATAATATAATTTAGATCACCAACAAGTAAATTTAACTCATATATAATGGCATTACAGATGGTGGTGGTTGAGGCAGCAGCTGGGTGGATTTTAACCTTACTTTCTAAAATTAAGTTCTTCCCTCATTTTCTTGTTTGCTCCAACATCACCAAAAGGTTACCTACATAACTTGGGAGCTATTGAAATATAGAGATAACTAGTAAGCAAAAGAAATACAGTAAATACTTCAAATAAGTTATGATGTGTCGTGTTGAGAGCATAGTAACATAATGGCTACTGGTCCACAAGGTACCTGTGCCACACTGAACTACTAGTGAGCTGCTGGCCTCCATGATTGTGCTAATCCATCCATGTTCATTATAAAACTTAGCTGAGCAATAGAAAATATGCAATAAATCCTTGTAATTTTTTATTAATTGGGGTTGAGACAGTCCAGCCCCTAGTAAATAATAAAAAGTTAACCAAATTTGCCTGATGGAAGAGCAACTAACCAATGTGTAGTCTCTACAGTATGTAAAGATAAGATAATGATATACATAAATAGATTTTACAACAGTACGCTAGGTGCATTTTTTACTTAAATGCTTGGCCAAAAGTCGTGCAGCAGTCATTTATTTCACAGCACACCTAGGAAAACACTCAACCATCAGATGTTGATAACTATAACAATGTACTTTTCCAACACCACAAGTTTCTCCAATCTCACACACTTCTTCAAATAGGAAGCCTCACTTTCTTTGATCCTTAAATTTTCTCAGTTTCACTTTGTCTTTAACATTGTCAAAATAAGTCCTCTTCTTCAGTCCCTATTCCTGCTGAAATAAATAGTGGAAGGTTTCTTGCTAGAACCATACACACAGACACAACCACTATCAGAAGTCATTGTTAATGTACTTACTGTCTTCAAGACATAAATATAGTGAATGGAACAAAGACAACATGAGGACAACCTATTGACAGAACAAGTGCACACAGGGGGCAGGGAATGTGGAGATGTGAATGTGATGCTCCTAGACAGGTCACTGCTTGGGGTCAACCAGAGGGTGAGGTAGGCAGTCACCCCACACTGCATTGCTCATTAGGAAGCCACCGATTGGGCCAACATTATCTCATATCAAGTGTTTTAAGATTATAGACTTTTCATGATAAAAAAAAATATTTGTCAGATGGCCCAGCCCCAAAACATAAAAAATAAGCTGAAGTCTGAACACTGAAGCATGAAATATCAAGGGTTTACTGTAGACATATTTCTTAAGATGCCTTACAATGATAACATGGTCTGTGGGATCAAGTTTGTGTGTGATTTTATCATACACGCAGCCCTAAATAATGTATGAACATCTCTTAAACCCTCATATTTGTTTGAACATTTATGAATTATTAACAACCAAGTCATACATTTGTGGGGATCATTGTACATGACTCGAGCATTAAACAACTTGTATTCACATTAACAAAAGTGAAAATAAAAATACATATCTATGAAAGTATGATATGAGTACAATACATCCAGCACGATACAACAGTGAGTGATTGTATGAGTCACTGGTGTGTAGGAGTGAGAGGCATGAAGGTGATAACAACTTCAGTACAAGATCGGATGAGTGATAAAGGTATTGTATATCAGGGGATGACAGTACACACCAGAGACACTTTCCATGAGTGATGTAGTCATGATAAAATCTACGATTGACGGTGGGTAGAGAAGAGACATACATTACAATATTATTATTCATCCAACAATGTTGTTCGGTGAGAAGAGTCGATTACACCTGTATAATGTTGACTGATATGGTTGATATTTGTGTATATATTTAAAAAAATAATGGATATATTTACACAGTTTGGTATTTATATCTTTTAAATTGTGCTTCTGATTCACTTGGCAACACATCAATCTCAAATAAAATATCTTAAAGGGTACAATATTGTGGCTTCTGTTCCCGGCAGATAATTAAAAAAGTTCTTATAACTTTCTGAAACATGACGTATTAATCCCAAAATTCATTTTATGGCTGTAACAAGACTGGAGGGACCTGTATCACTCAGTCAGCCAAAGTCTATGGTGCAAGAACCCAGAGTTCCCAGCAACAGCAGCTGAAGAGAATATTTATATTATTGCCCCATAACCTGTGGCAGCTTATGCAGTATACCTCTGGTCCCCCCACCCCACCCCCCAAAAAAAAAAAATAATATATAAATATATATATATATATATATATAGACAGTATATATATTTCTAGATTATAAATCAGGAAACTTGGGTAAAATGTTATATCGTCTAGTCTTACATAAAAGAGTAGCTTTCACTTAAACTCATGATGAAGTCTCATACAAATTATAAAAACAAGACTAACAGATTGTCTGTGAACTTATTTTGTGGGAGAAAATTTATGAATCATGAATTACCAGTCAGACATGCTTCAGCAATACTAACACTGTAGTAAAGAACAAGTTTATCCTCTGAGGCCTACCATGTTTCACATGCTGCTGTTTGTATCAGTAAAAGCTTACTAAGTGGAATTTAAACCTGGTAAGAATAAGCTCAAGTTATGAGTTTGCTCATTGATCAAAATGACAAAGTAGTTTTGAGTCCAGCAAAAGCTTACTGCATGTTTCTAAACTAAAGATCAGAATAAAGTTCTGTGAATTTCTAAACTACAGGGATGAAAAGGCATTTACTGTCATAAAGCTTAAAGGCACTTCTACCTTGAGTACATTATGAAGCACTGTAAGATTTAATAACCACTTCTTGAATGTCTTTAAACTACAGTATATCATGTGTAACCGAGACCCAGATAAATGTAACCATTCTAGTGACAAGGTTTTCATAAAATTTGGAATATGAATAAAATTGCCTTAAACATGTGAAAAACTGCAGAAAAAGGAGCATAAAACCTCCTTGGTAGCCCTGGTGTGCCCATTACTGTCTTGTACATACAGGGTGATCATAAAATACCTGTGTACCTGTAATAAATAATAATACAGTACAGTGAACCCTCCCCATCTTGGACTAACTGGGAGAAAGGGCAGAGTGAAAAGGCCAATTTTCTGAGTAGGCCAGAGTCCAACATAAGTCTAAGATCTGACGGCAATAAAGTCTGAAATAGGAGGATGAGTGCAAGTCCGACTTAGGTTCGAGAATCTAAGGACAATAGTCCAAGATGGAAGGAAAAGTCTGTGTCAAGTACCTTAAGAAGTTTCAATATAGAGAACAATTCATAAGTACAATCGCTGTAAGTTTTCATAGGAAGCTGCCAAGAATATTCACCAGCTGATCACGTGGACACAGCGGCCATATCATGTGTTCTGACTCAGTTACAGTAAGCATATTACTAATCAAAAATTATATATAAATAAAGGAAATAATTAGTTAAACATATAGAAATAATTAAAAAAATTAAGATAACCACTAAATAAAACTGACCTTAACGTTATGATGATGCACAATTTCACTGAGACTGATGATGGAAGTGACTTACTTGACCTTGACTACAGATCTATAGCATCTCCATTAAACATCCACATCATCTCCACTACACATCCGTTTCATCTCACACTACACAACCTGGGAGGTCACCCATGCCATGGATGTATAACAGGACTTGGGAACTTTCAAGAATCTTCTAGAACCTTCGGGGAGATACGTAGTTGTCCGAGCTCGCCCGTCGACTTTGGATATTGTCCGAGATGGATGGAAAAGTGTATGACGCCGACTCCCTGTCCAAGAATTATGGGGGTCTGAGTTAACGGAAATTTACTGTACTGTATCTCTGTGGTCATCTACCTTGTTCTACTGATAACATTATAGATATAACAAGGAACACCTATAACTCTTACAGGTGCACAGGAACTTTTCAATCACCCTGTAGTGTACATAACTATAATGAATGAAAGATGGTGAATTAAGGGAGCGTGTGTGCTGGCTCTTGACCCTCGCCTCTCTACACCATAATAAGAGAAGGTTCGCAAGAGTGAAGATAAATCAACTATCCACACAAGGGAAAACCTAACAGTCAACCTTGTCACTTTTAGAAAGGTTGGAATGTATATTATATATTTTTTCATATACTGTACTGTACAGTATATATATATATATATATATATATATATATATATATATATATATATATATATATATATATATATATATATATATATATATATATATATATATATATATATATATATATATATATATATATATATATATATATATATATATATATATATATATATATATATATATATACATTCATACCAATCAGTGAAAAAACAAACAAAATTCTACTGTACATATTGACTGACAAGAAGTGCTTGTCAAAGAGTAGCAATTAAAAAGTTGTAAAAAAAATAAATTAATAGAATAATAACAGTAAAAGACTTGTGTCGGGATAATTATAAATTCCCGACACTTCATAATAAAACTGAGAACGAGTGTTATATTCATAAAAAAAAATGCACAGTAGTTATGTTGACTTTGGAAGCTCATGAAAATAAACGCTCTGCTATGTTGCAGGCACTTGTCATACGGTACATCTTACCTACAGGTATGGCTGAGACACTCTTCAAGTCATGTCTTATATCATGAAAACCCTTTTGTTTAACCCTTAACCAGTTGTTAAGGATTCCATACTTCACCCTTACACAAAAAATAAGACAGCAAGGAACATGAAACAGCCACTGATAATTGCTGACAACCCTACAGCTAACTTCTGCTGACGATGGTTGCTGTTTATGGGTTAAAAATCTTCTTCTGCATCAGCATCATTAGCTGTGACTGGCCTCATGCTGTCACTAGGAGGCATGTAGCCGACAGGAGACGAGCTGCCACCTAAGAGACACACAAAACCATCAATTAACTCAACAAGAAAGGTTAAATATACTGTAACTATTAACCTTACAACAAACAAATTTATTTCTATGAATTAATTGACAAATGTCTTTTAAAATACAACTGGCAACTCCAAGTCTGCCACAAGTCAGTAGTCAGGGGAATGTATGACACTAATGGTAAGGGGAGTTAGATCAAACAATGGAAGAAATAAAGAAGATGTGAAGATTAGGCACCCCAACTTATTTCACCTGATGATAAAATATCATAATCAAACCAAACCTCACCCCTAGGTAGTATAAGGGTTCCATCATGCTTACGTCTCCTTCTGCTCCTTCCTTTAAGCATCTTCAGTCTCACAAAAATCTCACCGAGCTGTCAGTCATCACAGTTTCCACATGTCCTCACCATCCCAACAGACTTCCACAAGACTCTACAGTACACCACACATGTTTATTCTTCACCAAGTAATTTTTCTTTTCCTTTAGTACCGACGCATTTCATTTCTAATGCATAATTAGTCTCTATAGAACGGTATTTGCATTTTGGTAGAGATAGTTTCAAACTCCAACAGAAGGGTGGACAAGACATGCCACTGAAGAGGTTCTTCACACAGTCAACAATTTCTAACCATTCAAAAGGACCAACCAGACATCCCTAGTACCTAAAGTCATTTACAATTAGAAGTTCTTCCTCAAAGACGCTACAGCATTTAACCGAGATTATCCATCACTTTCAAATTTCAAAACTTTTTTCTTAACTTTATCAACATACTCTTCAGAAGTAATTAATTTAAATGCTCTTTAATTTACAAAGCACATTATCCGATGATCTCATATACATCATCGTCATAATCCACCTAACATAGAAGTAACAACTACTGAACCATCCTGCCCCTTACTACAGTACTCTGTCTTATCTAAATACAGTACAGTTTATACCATGTACAAGTACCAAAATGTCAGTCCATGAGTTCAATCATTGCTGTCATTTGCCCTTACAACAGTGAGTATTCCCAACAATCTATTTTCTACTTGCTTTCTTGAATTCTATTTTCACTTTGGAAACAACTCATATGTGTGTGTGTGTGTGTGTGTGTGTGTGTGTGTGTGTGTGTGTGTGTGTAGTGGTGAGGGGTCACTGCACACATCTACTGGGATTGATTTTACAGTATAAGCAACAGAGTACACCAACTAGGATGGACCACATATGTTTAGAAGTACACATCTAGTTAGGTACATAGTGGGGAGTAGAGATACATACCTGCTGGTGTGGACTGTGGCCTGAAGGTGCTAAGAAGGATCTGAAGAACCACATGAAGAACAGTGCAGATCAAATTAAATATTCCAGTGTAGAGGAAAGTCTTTGATCCACCTACAGAAAAGTACAGTGAGCCCCCAACAAAGCCACCTGTAGCAATACCTGCAAAATAAATGGAAAACTTTATTAAGAGTTCAAAATTGCATATACTGTACAGTACCCTTAACTGGCGGCTTAGGATTCCCTACTCCACCCCCACATGTGTACAAAAGGAACTCAAGGAACATGAAACCTCCACTAATGTGAGCTACCATCCCTACAGCTAACTCCCACAAATGATGACCACCATTTAAGTGTTAAGGTTCATTACATAATTAGTGACAAATATACACATTTATGGTTCATCTGAAACTTCTCAAAATGTGCAAAATCTTAGATAATAAATTCTTACCAATGCCTTCAAATGCAGCCCCAACGATCCCCTGCATTGTCGCCTCCGTTCCACTGGGGGCAACATGACTAGCATAAGACGTCATAGTGGCATAGAAAATTCCAAACGTAAATCCATTGAGGAGTTCGACGGGGAGGAAGAGCCAGGGGTTGGCCAGAGTGTAGTAGAGGATGAACCTGATGCCGAAGACTGCGATGACGAGAGACATGGCGTGCACGTGACCCAGCTTCTTGATGAACCACCCGGAGAGGAAGAAGAACGGCAGCTCCCCCCCAAAGCACTGGACACCCATAATTAGACCTTGTAGTAACTTAAGAGCGCCAAAGTGACAGTCCCACTTGAAGGCAATATCCTCGACCAACAGCAACTGTCAATAAACACATAAACAAACACAAACTTGTAGTCTCAACATCAAGTGCACATTTATCCTACCATGTCTAACATCTCTGTTCAATCTTTAATTTCAATTTCCTTACCATATGTGAAGCTTGTTAATCCTTTTTGTTATATCAATTGTATAAGTACTTGATTCTATATTACTTCTCAATAATCCTTTGAATGACCAGTTACCCCTTATTTATTTCACTCTAATTGATGATTTGTCATTACAAGTTGAAGTTATGCACGATGTCAAACAACATTAAAGGGTTCACCTGAAAATAACCCACCCTAATTCTACCTGAGGGGTTGGGATAGGTTAGGTTAGGGTAGGTTAAGTTAGGGTAGGTTAGGTTAGGGTAGACTAAGTTAGGTTAGGTTAGGTTAGGTTAAGTTAGGTTAGGTTAGGGTAGGTTAAGTTAGGGTAGGTTAGATAAGGTAAGTACAGTATTAGAGTGGTTAATCTTCAGGTGAAATAAGCTGGGGTGTCTAATCTTCAGGTGATCCACATCAAATCATATGAAACACTGTACTGTAGTATACCTGAAAAGTCCAGAGTATGCCAGTAGATATACCGACAACAATACAACACAGGATGAAGAGCACTATGCGAGGTTCACAGATGAGACGAGCCACTGACCCAGCCGTCCCTGTCCGCCGCTCACTACCTTCCACCTGTTCAAACACAAATACTTTACACCCACATTATCTTAACATACTGATTCTGGAATAATTAAAACAATGTAAAAAGGGAAATAATAGCATTGCAAATTGTACTGTACTTTAATAACCTGCAATTACAATTTATGATGTTATATAGTTATGAGTTTTTCACCATTTTTCTGATGATATACTGTACAATGCTTATTATCATCAATATTATTATTATTAGTAGTAGTAGTAGCGCTATATTATTATTTTTATTCCTGCAATTAAATTCTGAGTATACAGTACCAATTTAATACCACTTCTATGTTAAACTAAGGCTGTGTGGAGAAAGCTGTTCTTCAATTACTCATGAAAATTTCTCAATACTCATCATATGTATTTTTAGAAAATTCTATGGTCCTAAAATATTATGTCAAACTATAACAAACACTAAACCTGTTGACAGTCTTGCTAAGGTCTTTCTGTAGTGTGTGTGTGTGTGTGTGTGTGTGTGTGTGTGTGTGGCAAATTAGACATTACTCTATGTACAGTATTTTGTTTATACTGTTTAAACAGCTGAGGAGGTTCATGCTATGTAAAGTTAGCATATTTATTGGAAAACCATCTGTAGTCAGGGCACACACACACACACACATAGAATCTTTACACATTTCCTCCAGATTGTAAAAATAATTTGGGTGTTTCATAATTGTTACTGAGGATTAATTCTCCTTACCTCCAGACGAGTAGCTGCCAGGAGATCGAGGAAGAGGATGGCAAGACTCAGAACAAAGGCTGGGGTGTAATCCTTCTCCGGCCTCCCAAGTGATGCGTAGTCGATTAAACCTCCGGCAACGACCACCAATAACCCCCAGCCCACGGATCCAAACAGACGCTGTTCACCATATTTGTTCCCCTCAGCTCCTAAAGGAAGAGAAAGAAACAGTTTTTATATGTTCATGTAAAGAGAAAATAAACAGTTTTCCTATCCACATGAAGGGAAAGAAGTAATTTTTCTATCCATGGAAACGAAAAGTAAATGGTTTCCTCTCCACAGTTTTTTTATTGCAACACCTACTGTCCAGCAGGGCAGCATGTGAAGGATTTCCTCCAAATGTCGCTCACATCCTCCAGTCTCTCTCACTGCCCCAAAAATGTCCACTTTTACTATACATAAACAACAAAGCTTATTTCATTAAAAAATATATATTTATCCTTTAGATTGTATCCTGATAAAATGACAACTTACCAAGAAGCTTGAAGCATATCGTGTCTGACATGACCACTGTGATGGCCAGGCCACACCAAGCAACAATGAAACACACAAGATAAATCCAAAATTGGTGATAGGAGAGTAGCTCATCGTAGGTGCTGGGTGGGATGGTGAGTGGAGCCCCGAGATAGTTCATGAAACTGCCATCATCACACAACAAGGAGCAGTTGACGGTGCTCAGGGCAGGGCATGTGGGTTCAATCACCTAAAAAGAATGAATACAGGTATTTTTTTGAGATCATCATTAGCCTTAAATATAAAAACAACACACATTCCTCATTTATGGGTTTCGTAGTGAAAGTGCAACACACACTAACTGTAACTAGTAAATGGCATGAATACAACCTGCTCCTCTTCCTTGATTTTCTTAATCCTCACAATCCTGAATCTAATGAAAAATACATGTTCTTAAAATATACAAGTCTTACTGATCTTTGCTTTCCCAGATCCACACTATTGGGAGTAAAACTAGACCTCTAAAGACTCTTACCCACCTGGACCACACACTACACATAACTCCTCTCTTATATCTTGCCAAACAAAGCAATGTATCTTTTATATGAGACTATCTGCCTCATCCCAGTCCCATGGAGGGAATCAACACAGAAAATAGCCATGTGTTCTTGTCATAAGTCAAAGCACTTTATATCTACACAAAGAGAGAAGTGGGGAGATTACCTACAATGAAAGAAAGTATGGAGGTTGAGGTCTGTCAAAACAACATCTGGTCCACCATTGTCAAACAGGTCAAAGACACAACCTAAAATCCTCAAGCAGTAGTCCTCTTACTACACCAACTGGGACCACTTAGTCTACTACTTATGTACACTTGCTTAAATAACTTGAGCCATTAGTTAGGTCTTGTCTCAATAATCGTATTTGTGTATATATCTTTACCGGACGACCTTTCCTGTTCTTTCTAAACTACCGAAATGAAATTACATGAAAGATCCAAAAAAAAAGTGCATATGATTGTAATCAGTAACATGTGGAGCCAACTTTACCTCTTTGCCAGCAGCTGTAACGTTTGAGATGGGGAAGTAGGTACAACGATCTCCTCGGTCATTATCAAACAAGTTGGTGGATGCGGTGAAGTTAAACTCGGAATTCTGACACGACGAAGACACATTCCAGGCATCACAGATCTTGCCTGTGTCCTCCTCATCTGTACCACATCTAACCTGGGAACATATTTTGAAACTATAAATACAGGTTTCATCATCGAGTATCATCGTGCGTGGCTTTCCAGTATTAAATGAAGGATGGGATAAATGGATTGTCAACACGAGGAACTCCTTAACGTGCGAGTCTATGACCACCTTCACGCTGATCTCTGTTTTGTGTTATCATGGCTCCTTCTTGTACTCAACCCTTGTTCACTATATATAACCTCACTACATGCAGGAAAAACAGAGTTGTTCTTTATGACTGATAACATAATTTATCTCAGTTTACTCTTATGGTTGTGATAATGCTTTTGAAAATTAGATACAGTACTGTAGATGGATAGATATTCTGTAAAATTGTCAAACAAGTTTATGATCAGTTCAGCATGTACAGTACAGTATGGTATACGGGTAACGCATGCATTGTATAAGGTTCAGCATGCATATAGATAACACAGATCCAGTATACAGTGTACTGTACATAGGCCTTGTAGGTATTTTATAAATAGATAAAATGTGAATCATATCATTCATAGCATTTAGGAAATTTACAGTTGAGAATAACAAGAAAATTACTGTAGAGGTTCAGTACAGGAACACATTTCTGAGTTACTACAGGGTAATTATTTTATTCAAGAACCCTAAATGATTACTATATAATACAGTGTACTGTACTGCAATGCATGGAGTTCTTTTAATTCAAACACGAAACAAAAAATGACGAGATCATACACTGAAACAAGAAAGAGCCACTGCTTATTTTTTGAGAAATTGTGAATTTATGTGATGTTACAGTATTAGCATAACACAGTGGGAGTCTCCCTATAAACAGTACAAGCTGTATGGCACAAAATTATTAACACTTAAATGTACAAACCTGACAGTTTACAGTATAATTATCCACAATACTGTTAAGGAAATCATTGTGGCCACATTTGTCTTGGGAAATGCAGTATGAGAAGAAGGTGGAGGAACCATTGCAGTCAAGTCTGGCATGAGCTAATTCATTGTTTGGCTTCTGGGGGACAGCTGGAGTGAAGTAGATGCTGTAAGACAAAACCAAACCAGGTCTTAGAATATTAAAGTGTTAAGAAAGAGAACATTAGTGGTGAGGGTACTCTAGCATTCTTCACACAGGGAAGATCAGCTAAAACTCTAAACATCCAACTATTACTGGTTATATTCACCCTAAATCAAGATCTATTTTCATGGTTTTGAATTACGTATGAAAGTTGAGGTGCAGACAACAACCTGAACCACAAGTGTCATCAGAAACTAGAGGCAAGACCGGCGAGGAAGTGAGAGAGTATAGAGACCATTGCCCCTCCCCCAAACTTATTTCACCTCAGCATTAACCACTCTAACGCTAACCAAACTCACCCGAACCTAACCTAACCTAACCCCCAGGAAGCCTTAGGATGGTTCATATTCAGGTAAAGGAAGCTAGATTATCTAATATTCAGGTAACTTCATCTCTCTAACCTACCTGAAGAATCCAAGAGCACATATTACAATGGCAGACAAAAACATGCCACGGTGAATTCGAAGCCAATCAGAGATCGCTCCTGATGCTGTCTTCATGATGAGTCCAATGAAGGGCAGGATAGTGTATATTATGCCGATACCAGCGTCGGAGAACCCCTGTTGTCGAGCGTACACCGGCAGGAAGGGGAGTATAGGAGCAGTGCCTAGAGGGGGGGGGGGGATGTAGTAGTAATTAATGTTAATGTAGGTGGTATACAAACAAAATAACAATGACTGTATTTCACATTTGATGCTTTTCATTGCATACCAGACAGAGTACAGGTGAGGACATGATAGCAAACAATATAAAATGAAACGAAAATAAAGAAAAAATTAAGAAAATAGAAATAAAACACAATAAAGCAGAGCGTCTAAAAATAAAAATAATGCACTCTTATTGATTTTTGTGGTGATCGCATAAATACCTCTATTACAACAGTATCTCTTTCCTCACTCGTTGCTCTTATCATAGAAACTTTCATGCGACCACCACCAAAACCTGTAAGACAACGTATATACAATTTTCTAGACACCCTGTATTGTTAAGGTATGACATGTGAAAGAGAAGGCAATGTGAAGGAAGCTCTTTGAGACACCCTGTAGCCATTACTTGATGAGAAATAGTTGTAAAGTGAAGAATAAATTGAGTAAAGAAGAGAAAAGAATTATATGGTAGAAAACAGAGATGAACTAAGTATAATTCCTGATAAATGACAAAAAAAAATTAATAACAACCATCTGACCTAAATGTGAAAAAATCCGAAAAGTTGAGACATGAATTGAGGAGCTCCGATTGACAGTGACGAATCAACCAATGGCGCCCAAATCAGATTCTTGTTTCAACAGGAAGCCCGACTCTTTCTCTACCCATTGGTTGATTTGTCACTATCAATCGGAGTGCCTCAATTATGATTAAAAAATAATCATAAAGGAATCTTACTGAAATATAGATACAGGTACATTCTTTATTCTCTCTCCTCACCCCAGTAGAGACACATATTCCCTGAGTAGAAATAGATATCTGGGAAAATTAAAAACATAAGAAAAAAAGAACAATGGACAAAGACACTAAAACTTTCTATACAGTGATCCCTCGGTTAACGAGCGCCTCGATTAACGAGATTTCGGTTAACGATTTACCTTCCATAAGATTCTTAACTTCGGTTAATGAGCAATCACCTCGATTAACGAGTTTTTTACGAGCCGCCCTCAACATGTTTTCGCTTGCATTTGGCGGTTCACCAGCTGTAGTATTAGTCCGCCAATACAGTAATCGATTTTAGGGCTTAAATTCCTTACTATTTTAGTAAATATCAAGAATTTTATACTATTCAATAATTTTAAAAAATTAATATTAACTTTTTTAGTCATTTTAACAATTATTGAACATAAGTGAAGGTAAAGAAACTAGTTTCTGGCTCGTCATCCAGCCCGTTAACACACCAAACAGGCGTCAGTCTCTCTCTCTTTTCAGTGGAGGTAACATCTTGCTTGAGACTCTCTTCAATTAAACGCTTTTTTTCTGTGTTTGCAAGCAAATTATTGGTCATTTTGAAATTTATTTTACATATTGACAATATATAATGCAGTGCAGTGTTGATTTAAAGAAAATAATCTTGAATTACACCAAGATAACTAAAATTTTATGGGTGAAATGGTGCCATGGGGCGACTTCTCTTCCACCCCAATGCCTTCCCTTCTCCTCCACCCCTATTCTAATTCCCATCATCATCATCATCCAGGAGCCTTCTACATACACACCTCAAAGTAAGTGTACTTTTCTACCTTTTTTGTTGAATTTAGGCAATTTTCGGTGAGCTGGAACCAATTATCCAAAAACCCATTGAAACAATGGTTTCGGTTTACGAGTTTTTCGGTTAACGAGCAACCTGCTGGAACGGATTGTGCTCGTTAACCAAGGGACCACTGTACTGTATTCACAATAAGGACCGTCATTACCCCTTGAAGGTTTAATATGTACCAAACCACGATAAGATAGTGACCTCCTCCCCCTTCCCCTCCATACAAGTATAAAAGGAACTGCTCTCCCAAGATGAACCAGATCTAAACCTTACTTATTCACTGGTCTTCTCCCAGCACCACAAGCTACAAGTGTCCCAGCTCTACTACTGACAACTTAACTCCTCCAGAATCACAATACAATCCTGTATAGGTAACAGGTTTGTCTTGTATAACACACTGTTATATGGCACAAAAGATGATGATGGTGATAAAAGAATGTTGACAGAATAGTAAGACAATAATATATGCTAATACAGGTACTTGTATATAAAACAATTAATAGTAAGATACATACCTGCAAAAAGTAAAAAATAGTGAGCCTTTATAGGCAGTAATTTCATGTTGATCTTCATCTTGCTCCAACACTGGTGCCAAGGCATGCAACCAACAAACTTCCTGGAAATTTAAGTTCAGTATTGAGACAGCTTGACTAACCATATAAAGTACAGTATTAATACTGTACAAGCCATTATGAATAGTTATTCCTCTTTTTACATAATTCCATAATAATGTAATGTACAGTACTGTATACTGTAAATAAGTAATAATAACATCAATATACAGTATGGCAGCACATCCCAAGACAGAAATTTGCCAACAGCCAATTTCTTATAGTATATAGTGGGTTAAAGGGGCACCTTAGGTTCTTATTACACAATCTTAGTTCTTGTTATATTTTGCTGAACTCTTGAACTTTCAAAATAATATTTAACCCCATCACTACAATACCTCACTTTTAATATTTTATTTGGATAACACCAGATGATTTTATTCAGAACAGAGACTCCACATACAGACAGGGTTAATAAGCTACTTCACTACTGGGCACCACTTTTAATAATTCACTTGGCAAAACCAGATGAGTCAATGAATAAAATGCAGATAAGGTTAGGGAGCAAAGAAATTATTTTAACAACCTCATATGAAGTAGACTACAAGAACCAACCAACTCACACCAAAAAACACCCTGAGATTTTCACTCTATATACTGGGTTAAATTGGTTCATATGATCTGCATCTTAACTAGTTTTCAACCTCAAAAGTTTGATTAATTATTCTATCTATTAATGGATTGCAGGAGGACTAAAATACATGATGGGGTGTAAGATAAGCCTAACGTGTGCTTGAACCTCCCCAAACACCGGTGCCCCAGCCTCCACCACCTGGCTGTGTTGCATCATTCACTACACTACAAAAACCTAAATATAAACATTTTCAAAACAGATAAAATCCTTGCAAACAAAATAGTAATCAACACTAACTTAGTAAGAAGAGAAGGGAGCTGGTTGCATCAGTGAGTTAATGAGAGATACACGGTTATGAAATAGTTGGTTCATTAAGCCTCCTTCAATGTTGTGGCGACTGAGGCTCACTAACTACCATTTATGTAACATGGATCTCTTACTATTTACAAACTAGAAATCAAAATTATTATCTCATAGTTATTAATAAAAATATTATAAAATATCTAATTTTTAAGTAATTTAACGTCTATATAAAGAAAATATGAAGTAAAAAAAGATATAAGTTAGATAATTTAACACGATAATATGTCTAGGATACAGATAGTTGCTTCTGTAAACAAACTCTGACCGACTACCCATCTAACACGTTGCTATAGGTCAATTATGGATGATTATCTTCTAGAACTATGTTAATATATCTTAATAATTAACATAAATATCAATAAAAATATGGAGCTATTTTATTTATATAAGATGACGCCAGGAATAAGTTTCAGAAATCAATCGAAATTTTAGTTTTACCTTGTATCACTTAATAATATAATGGCGTATTTTTTTAAAATTTAATAAATTCGATGATAGATAATATTTTGAGTTGTAAATGGGAGAATTATTTGTAAGCAATTGAAATTTATCCAAGGAATAATAAGGGAGTAATTCAAGCCTTATTAGTTGGTTGATTCATGAGCAGTGAAGGTTAAATTGTAGTTTAATTTATCATTTCCTCACTTAGTTTACTGGACACTCGGGCGGCAGGTCTCTTATTTGCTACTGGTGAGTTTGATTGTTAATTACACCCATCGAGTAGCTCCCCCCTCTTTATATAGTTGTTATTGTGTAGTTTTATGTCCTATTTTCAAAGGTACAATTAAAAATGTGAGAACCAATAGAAAAGTAAGACAACGGTTTGTGTCAGAGCACCAGTCTATGAGGCAAATTTCAAAATTATAATGGCTGTAACTTTTTCCTATTAATTTTCCAAAAAAATTGTATTGCATATTTGGAAAGAGGAGATAGAACTACCCCAGAATTAGTTATAAAAAATGGTTGTACTCTGTGGGTCTTGAAACTACAATTCAACTAGCCAATTGAAAGCTCATATCCACACACATTTATGGTAAATTTATGTTATAGTCAAGGCTTGTCATTCAGTGCCAACACAGGAGCAAATAACTTTATTAACCCCAGCATTTTTCTTCCATATAACATAGTACTGTAGTGATCAGCAGTGTGTTTGAACAGTTGCTTCATGTTTGTAGAGATTCTCATTAAAGAAAACTCTGATTTTGATAATGAAATCAAATGTTCTCTCATTTTAAAGCAGAGAATGAGGGAGACTGGTGCCTTAACCATGCCCAGAGACAATGTACGTAGTAGAATGTTTGAATGAAGTGGAAGTAATTTTGAGAAACAATAATAGCAAAAGGTTTTAGGTATAAAAATGTGTATAAGAAAAGTATGACATTAATGAGAGAAACAAAATATATAAACTTATGTATTACCGAGTGTAAGTTGTAATTTGTTGCAACTTATATCAAAATTAGAATATTTTTTCAGGTTAGATTTATAAGAGCTTAAGATGGTTTATATACAAATATATATTGTCTATTGTCATTATTTTGGTGTTTGAGGTTGAGGCTAAACTTTATAGTGTATCAATATGGTGTGTTTATTAGCAGAGTTTCCGCTGTACAAACAATGAACAGTAAAGGTAATAACAAAACTAACAAAGACAAATTACGCGAATAGCTAATAAACAGATAATGATAAATATACAAAAGTAATTACATGGTTATCGATGATACATTGAAGTCACAGCGTTGTAAAATATTAAAGTTACCATTAAAACATTAAAATTTTCTTAAGTTCTCCATCGACCATTCTCTATGAACTTTGGCTTGTCTAATAGATGGCAGGACCAAAATAAATACTAGGGAGTTTAAATTCTGTATAATATTCCTTGGGTTGAAATTACAATACTATTTTATATTTTTTCCAATAATGTTTAAGTTCTAGTACATTTATGTTTGTTAGTTTGATTGGATTACCTGAAGATAAGACACCCCAGCTTATTTCACCTGATTATTAAACATCATAAAGTACTGTAGTTTAAGTAAGGTTAAAGTTACGTTAAGGTAGGTAAGGTTAGATTAAGTTTTGTTAGGTTAGTTTGTTTAATCATCAGGTTATATAAGCTGGAGTGCGTAATGTTCAGGTGATGTTGGGTTAAGACTACACTAGGTTAATGTTATTTTTGGTTAAATGTTTTGTTCTTTTAACTGTTAAATTAGGTTAACTTAACAAACCATAAATTAATATGTAACCTACTATATCATTAACTTAAATTTAATATGACCTTCACCAAACATGAACCTTAAGTTGATATTTACTTAACCTAACCTTAACCTAACTTTATGACTTCTAATTAATCTCTCCATTAGTACCAATACTGTACCAGAGTATGTATAAGAAAAGCGAAGGGTCTGATGTAGGCAACTATAGGCCAGTTAGTAGCCTGTGTATTGTGTCTAAAATTATGGAGAAAGCAATGTATGTTCAGAGTGAAAAGGTGACTAATATTAATTGCCAGTCAGGCTTTAGGGGCTCTCACTCAACTGATACTGATAACGTGAGATAGTTTATCTTCAGGCGAAATAAGGTGACCAAGGTGCCTAATCTAAATATATTTCTTAATATAATAATTTAGGGCTTTCTCGCTTCATCTAACAAAGTTTAGAGGTTATGTTTCCACAAGTCATTAAACGATCTGTCATAGTTGGTGGGATTATATTCCGAATGTTGTGTTGTTCTCTGGTGGTATTTTGGGGGGAACTCGTCGTTTGTACAGCATTTTTAAGGTTGGTTCATCATTTCTTGTGAACTGGTGCCGAAGTAGACAGCTAGTATCCAATGGTTGAATGTCGGTTGGTGCAGCAAATACTGCATATAGACAACGCAGGTATACAGTGTATATAATTACCAATGCACTAACCAGGATGTGGGTATACAAACAATGGTAAACAGTAAAGCAGTTCGATGAAGGATAATCAACAAATCTGATTCTCTAACTACTGTTGAGACACGTAAGAGTCAAAACCCTATCTCGGTTGTCAATTTAGAAGCCTAGAATAATCACACAGTATGTAGTAATATTATAATAATCCAAGGTAATGCTTTAGTTAGTTATCAGCCATCTCTAGTATTACATTACGTATTACAATATGTCTTTGTGTGACTGATTGATTCATTTTCATGATTCCTCGCTCATAGTTGAGCATGTGAGCCGTTCTCCCCCATCCAAGTGAGTGGACCGGTCCGTGTTTACGTTTGGTGCCTGGCTGGCCTGAGCGTCAGTGTGAGGATGGAACCATGAGTGGAAGGGTGTGGTTATCGTGTGTGGGCGGTGGTCCCTATGTGTTAATTATACTTATAACAATAGCATCTGCGGAGCATATATGTAACCATGTTCATCCAAAACCAGATGAGGTATGTTGAATTACTTAACTAGTTATCTTGTAGTTTAGGTTTCACGTTATTGATTTTCTTGGGCAGCCAGAGAGAGGACATACGATCAGCTGATCCACCGCTGCCACCCTACATGTCCCTCACAGATGGTTATCACCACCAGTTCGTGGAGCCCGGACGTGTGGGCTGTCAGTTTGTACTTTATAGTATTGGATTATAAGACATGTTTGGTGTAGCGTAAATGAATCTTGTTTCTTTGTCGGCTTAAAGATAAATCGCGCCCAGAAAACGTTGTTGTCAAGATGTCTTAAACGTTTCTGAAGATATCCGGCTTAAGTGTGTGTACAGGTCTTAATGATGTCTGGTACACCTGTGTTTGTGTGTTGTTCGCAGCTTGGGAGTGTTCAGGAGCACATGAGATTTCGTGGAAATTTAATTAACATTTCTTGTCTATATTTGGAAGTCTTTGTGGCAAAATATTCCACTGTGATAAATAACAAGACCTGCAGAACTTCAACATTGTGATTACTAGTTCAGTGTTAATTAGTTTACTAGCTGTCTCATTTGGTCAAATCGGTGAGAAGAAATCTAAGTTAACGAAGACTGGTTCACGAGACATGGAGGTGTCATTGCTTTCCACGTGGATGATCGGCTCTGTGATGCGATTTTTGCCGTTTCATTAGATGTCTATTTACGAATTGTTTTAGTGACATGCGAAGAGGACCGTTTTTTGCAGCTTTTATTAATTGGTGTAGTCGAGTAATCTGGACGGATGTTTTAGTCTGATCTTCACGGGCCCAGTTTTAGTCCAGGAGGAAACAGGAGCTTAGTATACCAGTGAAAACGATGATAGGTTAGGTTACTTGGGAGTCGAATTTGGGTCACAGTGATGAAAGGCAAGCATGATTCCGTTATGCCATTATTTTGAAGAAGTAGATTGTGTGAGGAAACGGTATAAACAAAAGGTATTGTTAGTGTTTAATGCATGACCCAACTAATTAACTTGACAGAGGTAGAAAGATCGATACACTACCACTGTACCTTTACCACACGTGACCACCAGTTGTTTGATTGTCGTATTTATTTATTAAAATCGCAATACATGTTTACAGTTGTACATAAACTAGTTGGTGGTGATCGTGTGTGGTAAAAGTTGTGATAACGTTAGTGGTGTTGATCAACGTTTGTCCCCAGTTGGCACATGAATCAGACAACACTTTTATAGGGATGGATAATAAACACACCTTAGCTCGTCTCCTCCCTCTCTTCTTATGCCCGCCATCATCACATACATATTCAGATTGTCTCCACTCGTAAGAAGATTTGGTGTTGGTTGTAAGGGGGGTCCTGGGGTCCGGACCCCACCTTTTCATCAGAAAATTACATAATTTTTTTCTTTAATGCAGTATTGTACTCAGGCGCGTGTGTAAAGTAAAAAGTAAATACTCTTGATCTCAGACTATCTCTTAATATCAATTGCAAATGTCTTCAAAATGACCTCAAAGTGTCCATGATATTGGTCAGGTTAACAAACAACAACTGGGGTCTTACAGCCCCCCCCCCCCCGAAACACACAAGCTGGATGGGTTCGCTTTGCTCGCTGTGTTCCCCCACTCAAAACTTTTGGGACCCCCTTTTTGATATTCCTGGATCCGCCCCTGGAGGGGGAGATCAGGGTAGGAATTCATCATCGTGGTCTAGCTGGCGGGTAGACACCCCTGCCCTCTGCCGGAGATAGCGAGGACCAGTGATCTTGACCTCTCGCTCAAACCATCCTTGACTGACCGTTCCCCGCTGCTCCGACCACTACAACATTGTCTTGTTTCTGTAATATAATTCGTCCCTCTCTTGTGCTTGCAAACATTCCACACGCAGCTTCTATGCTTTTTTTTATTATATATATATATATATATATATATATATATATATATATATATATATATATATATATATATATATATATATATATATATTATTTTTTTTTGTATTACAGGAAGGTCTGGTTGAGGTGGACGGCGTCAGTTTTAGTCTTGTCATATGAAAGTTTTACAATAAAGCTTCAGTCAAGTCGGGTTGTTTCTGGCCGCACCATTGACTAAATCCAAATCATACAGGGACTGAAGCTGTTGTTCTAGGAATGGGATTATTTATTAAACTCCCGCCTGAAGAATCTGCCCTTTGTTCAGTTTTCTTGTGTTAAAGACAGCCAGAGAAGACCCGTTTAACAGCACTAGGCGTCTCCCTGCGAGCATCGGGGTGAGATAACGGAACCGTATGTTTAAGGGATAACTAGTAATTGTTTAATGCTTAACAATATTTCTACTCATGAATATTATCCACACTAAAATGTAAAAAAAAAAAATAATTATATATATATATATATATATATATATATATATATATATATATATATATATATATATATATATATATATATATATATATATATATATATATATATATATATATATATATATATATATATATATATATATATATATATATATATATATATATATATATATGCTTGGGTGAAATTTTCCAATAAGCATTTAGAAACCTCGGATTGTAGGCTATTGTAGCAAATTTGACTTTTTTATATATGGATAAAATAAAAATATTCTCAATAATCACCAAGAATCTGAGAAATCACGAGTAAGTCCTTAAAACTACGGCTGAGTGAACACCACATAGTTCACGACACGAAGCCCACCACACAAAGGTCTCATTAACACCACCACAAGACACGCTCCACCCAACGCTTCACTCTTACTGGCTATATAATCTCTCTTGACTGGCCCTTGGCTGTGTCTTTTTGCCACAACTTTTACATCCCTCCCAACCATTCTACTTCTTCTTACTCGCCCTGATCTCACCACTGCAGAGACATCCTGACCAGAAAGGAAATCTCTCTGACTCATGTTTACTCTCCAATACTAATCTGTCTGTCTCGTCTCCCCCATACGTGTTACACTACCCCCCTCCCCCCTCTTACACGTATACTAGACTCCCCCTCCCCCCACCCCCACACGTACTACCCTACCCCTCCCTCCCCCCTAGTCCTACATGCTTACTCCCCCACCCACGTTCCAATATCAGCCCCTCACCACAGTCAGTTCTTAAATTACATGCTGGCAACATTGTGTTTTCTCCCCCAAGTCCTGTAGTAAACCCCCAACAATGCTCTTGACCGAGATGGCATTCCTCCACTAGTTACAATGTGCTCGTAAATTGACCTATCGACTTGAGCTCTCGGGTCACTTTCGGTATCATTAACTGCACAAACTTTTTTTTTTCTTTTTTTAAGTTGTTCGGTTGCTGCTGTTCAGAAAGTTGGGTGGGTGAATTGATGGTCATTTTTGTCTTTATTGTTTTATATACCGAGTGATTCTTTCTGGTGTGATCTTAAGTTTGAATTGTCTCGAGTCTTCCTGAACCTTTATGGGGACTTTCACTGTTTATCGTCATTGGCTTCTTCTCAAACACTTCACTAAACATTTTACTCTACACATAACATAACCAGTAAAAGTGGGGGGGGGAGGGGGGGTCTTTTTTCCCCCCATTTAATGATACTTATGGTCTTTTTCTTTGTTATCTACCAAACTATGATACAGTCAATAACAAAAGACGATTCCCACCTTGTAAAATCTTAAGTTTATCTGGGAGACATTATTTACATTCCGTTCAGGTCATTCCACTGAAGATTTCCCTTCTCTACTCTCGCTCTCATAACTTTTTATTGATAACTTGATGAATTTTTCTTGTTACGTACGACAACTTAAGATATTTCTACATACTGTACTTTGGCAACAGGTCGTGTGAGGTGGTCGATCAGTGACTCTTGTATTTGGTGTCCACAGCGATGGTTACTCAAGAGTGGTGGAAACTACAGTGTGTGTGTGTGTCCTGTACCATATACTGAACACGCGCACGTAACCATTTTATCCACGTACCGTATCTGTTTATATACAATTGGATCGCATTGTGATCTTATTCGCATCAGTTCTGTGTATTATACTTGGTTTATTTTCTTCAACAACGACAAACTACAAATTCATCATGTGTCGACAACATCAATCAACCTAACAGTCTTTTATTGCTCTGCTTATCACGTCTCCACCCACTCCGCCGCCCTCCTTCCCACCCACCCACTACGCCGGCCCACCCATCCACCCACCCACTCCCCCGCCCTCACATCACCACTAACCACCCACGCTCATCTCTGATCTCCCTCCTGAGTAGTGTAAAGTGAAGAAGCGCTAACCTTGTGACAGTTAATACATTCTGGACCCAAAACACCGACGACTCCACACAAGGAAGACGATAGTTACCCTAAGACTGGGGGAGGAGAGCTTACCAGGGCTAACCAACCTAACCCCTCAATCTATTAACGGTCAGATTATTTGGCGGTATCTGGGCGTTAGGGAAGGTTTGAGTTAGGTTAAAGTGAAATAAGTTAGGGGGGGGGGGCGAATCTTAAGGTTAGGTTAAAGTGAAATAAATTAGGGGAGGGGGGGTGATTCTTCAGGTGATCAGCTTATATAGAGTATTCGTTCCCTACTGTACCCCTCAGTGACTCAACCCTCTCACGTCACGTTTGCCAAGACCATTGCTCACACAGTTGGTTGAGGTGCAGCCGTACTCTCTCGTTAACCCTCTCTCAGCCAGTCAGTCAACAGTTACTTGTGATCACGCCTAGCTAATCGCCACTCAATTTCCTTCGTTTATTAGCTAATGTTCTCATTATTGTTACTGTTAGTGATTCAGCGCCAGTTCTCCCGTACCTGAGTTAAGAGCCAGCACGCGCCTGTCGATATATTTTCTAGGATAACTGAAGGTCTAAACGCTTCTACCGACGCTGGGTGTTTAGGGGAGTCGCCAGGAGAAATGATTGGATTTTAACCATTGGATACTCTAGTTCAATAAGGGTCTAACGTCTTTAGTCTATATCTTTGTTGTATGGTAAGTAACGCTGTGAAATTACTGTGTGACTGTATCCTCGTTGGTGTGTGTGTGTGTGT